AACTAGGGGAATTTGTCCACCCATTTGATCCCATTTGTGGGTTCCCTTGATTACGAACAACTCGGTATCTCGCATTAGAAATTATTAAAATATCGGAATAAACCAACGTACAAACGCTGAAATCGTTGTTATCTTTAAGTTTTGGTAACGGACCGATTCACTCTAATGTCAAAACTAACAGCACTGCAGAATCGGTTTTACCGAACGAAAAGAGGACATTATCCAATGTTCAACATTATAGCCGTAACACTAAACTGCCATAATGGCATATACCCGTGCGTGCCGCTATGCACGTTATAATATGTACAGGGTGAATCGGAGGGGCGATGATGTTTCGAAGTCACTTATATACACCGCTACGCGCCTAATTTAAAGTTGTCAGTTTTACTGTATGTATATATATATATACTAACCCTCTCGGCTTTTTTTTCCCTTTTTGCCCGCCGCCGCTCTCTCGTGCAGATAGTTAATTTCGGTCGGGCGCGGAGAAAATGTTGACAAACGCTTTTTCCGTCCGGACAACAATTAATAACACTGTGCTTCCGCGGTGTCGGGGGGTCTTTACAACAACGAAAAATTGGCAAATAGTTCTCGGGATACTTGGGTTCGTGCAGCGTGTGTATACACTCGTGTTGTGTATACACGTATATACACGCAATGCACCGCCTCCGATAGTATAAAGCGGAAAAACAATTTAAGTGCTAAAAACGATTTGTCATAAAAAGAAAAAAAAAAAATAATAATAATAATAAAAAACCCGAGCCCGCGTATTTCGACGATCGAAAAGTCTTTTTATAATTTTTAAACGCCTCGCCGTGCAACTCCGCTATTTTCTACGTTATAATATGTCGATCGCGTTATATTTTCGTTGTACGCGATTCCCGACAGTTGTTCCAGAAAAATGAAAACAACCAACAACAAATGACGGTGTATTGGATTTTATTTTTTTTGATTTCCGGGTTACATTATCGTTTCAAGAGGATGGGGGGGGGGAGGCGAACACGTCTAAATACTTTATCCAATATAATAATAATACCTTTTCGGTCCCGGAGAAGAAATGCTTAACATACATTTTTTGTTTTAAATAATTTTGTCTAATGTAATTTTTCCCGCATCAATTTTGTTCTATGTTACACGCGTGTATGTATTTTCCAAATTTTTGAAAGCTATACCGACTTGACGTAAGCCCCTGTTCCCTAGAACCAAATAGATATAACCTTACCTGCAATTCGCCGAGCTCCACTCTGGTTCGTTTTATGATTGCATCGATTTTGCGTTTAAATAAATATTTTGTGAATGTATATATATATAGTTGAGTTAATAATTCGTGTTTTATTCTGATGAGAGAAGACATTCACGTATTTTACAAATAATATCGAAAAATACCACTTTCCTTCACAAGAGTCGGGTTTATCGGGGTGTAAAAGTATGGCTTTTATAAAATTCGATGTACCTAACCCAACCTAACCTTACACATAAGCACGTTTAAAAAACAGTAAAAAAAAAAATTATACATTATGTACATAAAATTAAATTAAATTATTACATTTTGTAATATTATTATTGTTTTAAACGCTAATATCAAGTTTTTTTCTATTTCCGTGTTTTCTTGTTTTTTGTATTATTTTTATATTGTACACTATGTATTAATTGTGCGTGCTTAGGCACAGTGGCGGCTCGAGGTATTTTTTACCTTGAATCACTGATTTAGACTGCAGTGTGACTGCGGAATATCGGCCGTCTCTGCACCAATGTCATTTTGGAAATTCGCTGTTGACGTCGCGGAAGTACCGACATAATATTATTATATTGTCACATGATAACATATTATAACGCGATGGTAGTTCGGTTTTTCTTCTCGCTAATAAACAAACGTTTATTTTCGGTCGCGTCTAGAAAATTTGAATATCTAACACGTGGCCGTGAACGCGCGCGCCGCTGCCGACGACTCTACGTCGCGCCGGATGAATAATTTACAGCGGCTATCGAATTATTCTGAAATAGAAAAATTGCACCGCAATACATTAAGTGTGCCATTCTGTCGTCGGCGGACCAAGGTCTATACATTGTATGCGGGCCTATATACAAGGTGTCCCACGAAGTACTCATTGTACCCATTGTAATATCACCGAACAATCAAATTCTGTTATTTTTATTTTAAATTCTAAGCGGAGCGAGGAAGATATTGGTTTTACAATGATGTTTATTTTTTTGTTTGTGAACACCTTTTCTACCAAAAAACTTACTCCGATTATCAAGTATAGCACATTTTCTGAAAGTAATTGTCCTCTGGATGGTACCTTACAAAGTTATTTTTAGAAATTCTCATTAATATTCGAGATAATGAAGAAAACCTGGTTTTTTAGGTTAAAAAAAAAAATGAAATATTAAAAATAAAGTTTTCATTGGCAACGTTATTATTAATTTTTTACTATTTTAATCTTTTTTAAACAGTCATTGTTGTCATCAATTTACCATAATATGACACAAAACAAAACAACATTATCAACTGAACTTCGCTCAGAATCGGTTTTTTTTTAGCAATGGTTCAACGCGTTGCTTACAGATATACATTGAATTCCTGTCTATATTCTACCTTTCCAACTTCCTACCTACAACAATGGCTGCATCCACGTGCGAGTATGGCCGTCTTTTTTTTTAATAACTCGCTATCAACTGAACTTCGTTCAGAATCGGTTTTTTGTTAGCAATGGTTCAACGCGTTGCTTACAGATATACATTGAACTCCTGTCCATATTCTACCTTCCCAACTTCCTACCTACAACAGTGGCTGCATCCACGTGCGAGTATGGCCGTCTTTTTTTTTAATTACTCGCGTGGATAAGGAATAGAAATATTTATGTATCAATTGATTTTTTTTGTTTTGGTAAAAAGACAAAATTTGTATTTTATTAGTTTTGACAAATTTGATGATATTTTGATGCCATTTTATAGATTTTATTCTTCTAAACATTTTAACGTATCAACTTTTCCCTTTTTAATAAATATTAGTCACACAAATAATCAATTAGCGAAGGCGATTATGATGCAGCATTATGCCTGTTGTATAACAATAGGTATTTTTTTCTGAACATTAAAAAATTATCAAGTCACGAATTGAATGGAAAAAAAAATGTAACGTCAAAATTGTCAGTTTTTCTTTTTTTTACCGAAACTTAGAAATGCAATTGAAATATAAATAATATCCTTGTGTGTAAATAATGTCCTTATCCCTGTGAGTATTAAAAAAAAAAAAAACAGAATTCGATTATCTATTTATTATTTCGGGAGATATTTCATCGGGTATATATTTATATATCTTCGTAGGACACGATATGCGTATATGAATAATATGATACGCGGCCGTGGTCCGCGATTGCGGTCGAGCCTTGTCGAGGATACCTATCCATATAAAGGACGCACGTCCGACTGAAATATGGTCGCCGCCCTCGTCTCCGTCTACTATAATACCAATTTCAGCGTAATATTTCAACTGGGGTATTCAGTGCTGACTATATCATTAGAGCCCTAGCGCAATTTTCATGTTTATAGCGTTTGAACTTGACAAACGTCTAAAATTCGCAGTTGCCCCCTTATTTGCCCTCTTTTGCGTGGTATCCGGATGTATTCATACGGATTTTCACCGCCGATCGAACGTTACCTGCACGTCACAATATGCGTAGGTACCTGTAATGTGAATTATATTTTTTTTTTTAGATCCCGAGCGTACGGCGAAGAAACCCGGTCGGTGTTACTGTCCGACAACAGACGTGTTTTGCTTTCCGGAAGACTCTTTTTCGCTTATAGAGCACAGAGCAGCGTGCTCCGTTTCGTTCGCGTCGTCTTACCGAAAAAGACACGGATCCGTCGCCCTCGTTTTGAAAATCTTTTCTTTTTTTTTTTTTCAAAATTAACGACGGTTTTTCTTAAAACAGAAAAACCCCGACATCGCGAATGACGGCACGCCGGTTTTATTTTTACGAATTCGCAATGCGACTTCGGTGAGGTGAAAACACGTTCCACACTGTAGCCGGTTAGGTACATAACGACAATGATCCTAACCAGTTTACCGGGCTCCATTCGGAATCATTTTTCGATTCCGACGATACACACGACCCGAGCTTTTGAACTGCTATGACGGTATACGATATCCCGGCTTTCCATCCACAGCAGTGGCGCGGGATATGTCCGGCCGTTTCACGATTAATAATATGGCTTTTGTTGTTACCCAACATTTCCGTTTTTTTCCCCCCCGTACCGTATATACACAATCGATATCGAACCGCGCTCGGAACGTTTCGCGGGCGGCGGCGTCGCACGTCAATTAGGTGTACCTATTGTTTATATTACCCCTATAATATAGTGTATTAGTATATTGCGGACCTTTCACCCGCCCCCCCCCTCACCCACCGAAATTGTCACGGAAAAACTTGATTACAACACACGCGATTACAAACGGCGCGCGCGGCGAAAACACGTTATTATTTTTAACCGCGTTAAACGACATCGAAAAGCGATTATCGTGACGTACGCATTTAAATTATTATGCCCGGCGTGCCCGACGAATCGTATTACGGTTTATCGCTAACGAGAACAAAACAATGAAGGAAAAAAACCATCAAAATGTTCACGTGTACAGTCGACTAAACGCGATGCGCGTGTAAGAACGGCGACGTCGATTGGAAAAAACCGTGCCGACGGGCGTACGCGGACGCGAAACCTTGTACATAGGATATTGTAGTTTTGTAAATATCCACTGGTTTTTTTTTTTTTCTCATTATTTTTTCAGACCCGATTAAATGCCGTTAAACACACTCCCCCCGCCCACCGCTCCGTGTACACGTGTTCCGCGTAGAAAAAACTACCGATTGTACGCGGGTGCCGTGTGCGCCACACACACGACGAGCCGTTGTTTTCGCGTAAACGCTCGACGCCGTCGCGTATATTACCCGGAGGTGAAAAAAAGAATAAAAAAAAAAAAACAACACGCACACCGTTATGTTTTGTTTAATTATTATTTTATTTGTTTTTTTTTGTTTTTCTTGTTTCGTTTTTCTATATTTTATTATTAATTATCGTCGTCATCATCAATACCGTTTGGATTTGTGTATCGCATGGATCCGACACGGAGAATATTTTTATCGTAATAACACGCCGTATAACGTCGTCATCGTTACGTCCGTTGTCGGGTCTATTATAATATTATATATATAGGTATACATAATAACATTGTATATAATATAATGATAATAATATTATTATCTATTTACAATAATAGAAAAAGAAAAAAAAAAAATTAAACAGACGTATAATTTTTTTTTACGTATAGGTATTATAATATAATAATAATGTGTAATAATAATATAGTGTGTATTGTAATTATAATAATATTAAACAAAAAAACGAGAAAAAAAAAAATTAATTTTTACTTCCCCGGTACGAGTATAATATATTGTGTGTATATATATATATATATATACATATTGTATTTTCGCTATGGTTTTACAATATGCTCGCGTAAAGGTAAAAAAAAAAAAAAAAACTTCGAAAGTTGTACATTTTTTTTCAACCGCGACAATTATTCTTAACATAATAGAATATAAACTTTAATAATACAATACAATATAATTGTGATAATATTATATACCTATATACATATATAGGTATATAGTACCTAATAGGTACCTAGTAGGTTATAATTGTATGTATGTGTGTGTGTATATATATATATATATATTTATAAATGTACAAAATAATAATAATTATTATTACCGGAGCTTGTATACAACGTTATCTCGTCGTTTCCGTTTCTAATGATCGGTAATGTATGATTTTTTTTTTTGTCAATAAAACGTCTCGACTAATTTATTATTCTCGGGACGTTATGCGTATTTTTATACGTTCGATTCGAGAGGAGAGCGATAAAAAAAAAAAAAAAAAAAAAAAAAAAACAACAAAAACAACAAAAATCATAATATTATAATATCATGAATGACAGCGAAACGATAAGGCTAATAATTATAATAATGTATTATACGATAACTATTGTACATTATAAATTAATATTTATTTTTTTTCACTATATATATATATATATTATATATATTTTATATTTATACATAATACACTATGAGATTGAATCATCGTTTTTTTTTTTTCTATATATAGTACGTATCTAATTTCACATTTTTTTTTTTTTTTTTTACAACAAAAATAAAATAATGAATATTGCACTTTCGGAGCGAGTCAGAGCCACCTAACGCGTGTAGTCGCGTCTTCGATACGGCAACAAAATAATAATAATAATAATAATAATAATAATTATTGAAAAAAAAAACCAGGAAAATGATTACAATATAATATAACGCGATTTTGAAAATAAAAATAAATATAATCATATATTATGTAGGATAAAAAAAATTAAAGAATAAAGAACAATCAATAATAAAGAAAACAAATAAATTATAAAATAAAACAACTCGGTATTATAATATATTTTTTTTTTTTTTCCATATCGTGTGTTCTTAAAAACTAAAACATAATAATGATAATAAAAATAAAATAAAGAAAAATCACAGACTCTGGGTTTATAACACATGTACAGAAAATATAGTTACAGCGTAATAATATCATATAGGTAATACAATATCTATAGTATTATATTACGTTCGATTTTATACCTTTTTTTTTTTTTGTTTAATATTTTTTTTTCCGATTTTAAGTTTAATAATAATAATAATATGTATATATTAGGTATATCTCATTGTTATATACAATATTTTCGTTTATACATATTATGTAAGATATTTTACAATAAAACCGCGATAATAATGAATAATAATTAAATGAATTAATAATGTAAATTTTTTATTTTTTTTTTCTAAAAAAAAAGATTATATCATATATAATATTCTAATAGTCACACGTCGAAGGGAGATGACAGTGATGTTACGCGGTTCGCGGGGTCTACGAACGCGCACTACAAACACCTACTCGATAATTAGTTTAATAGTAATTAATACTACGACGACGATATCACACGTCATTATAACGTGCGGCGTTAAGACCGAGCCCGGAATAACGCAACGAATGAGAAAGTCGTACGAAAAGCGGAAAAGTCACAGTCGCGCGATGACCGCCACGTTTGTCACGACACCGTAAGCCGGCACTGTGCAGCCGCTAACGCGCACTGGTTTAATAACGCGGTGAAATCGATCAATCTCGGTCGGTCCGCGGCTACGAAACGCAATCGTGCTGCGGGTTTACATTGCGTCTCGGACATCTCGGACGGAACTCGGGTAAAAAATCGAAGAAAACGTTGAAAAACCGTACGTTTATAATTTACATGGTTTTTGTTTCGATTATTTTATTATTATTATTATTTTTTTATATTTTTTTTTTTCTTCTGATATTCGATTCTCGTCAATAGTACTAATCCACAAATGCCCCGTGAATGTGTGCGGAGTTCGGTACTCGAGATGAGCAACTCCTCGATAAAACGATACAAATCGCATTGAAACGCCGTGACGCGATGCGAACGGGCGGTGATCATTGTCGGGTTAATAATGCGCACTAGCGACTCCATGTAAAACGGGATGGACGGCGGGTTAATGACAACGATAATAATATCGCGCGTCCGATTAATCGTTGTCGTGTTGTAATTATCGTTTTTACGCGCGCGCTCGGTTACCGAAAGGAAATTTCGATTTTTTTTCACGACGGGCATTTTTTTTTTTTTTTTCTTTTCCGCGCGAGAAAATCGTCAGCAAACGCTAAGCGCCGTGTGAAATACATTCTCGATACGCGTCTCGCACGCCGAATTCGATACAATATTTTTCCCGTCGTAAATAACTGTTATTCGATTGGTTTTTTTTTTCTTTTTCCGTTTTGTTTACGACGCGGTTAAAACTGATACTGTCGTACAATAATATTGTCACCGGGATTCGTTATTAATATTATTCATGTTTTATTTAATTTTTTTCCGTACGAAATTACAGGCTGTCGATCAGCGTTAATAATATTTCGACGTACCTATTACCTATATAATATGCCTATAATACGTATTTACAAAACAAAACGCGCACCTACGCAATAGTTATATTATTAATATAATAATATCATCGTTATATCGTAATGTATATAAGATATATCGGGTAATTCTAAAAAAAAAAAAAAAAAAAAAAAAAAAAAAAAAAA